GATACATAGAGCAGGTGGGGCTAACATTCAGGTAGTGGAAGTGGAGTTGGGACCCAGTTGAACTTGCTGCTACATTCCTCATTTTCTTTTGAAATTAGAACCTAACCGAATCTTCATCTGAGATGGATTCTCTCCATCTCAAGACAGCTACTAGCATTTTCTTTATCAGCCAAGGACTCCCAAGTGCTGCCAGTTTTCCATAAGCTTTGTGACTTTGATGCACTGCTTAGACCAGCAGTTGGTAGACTGATGTGACACTCATGGTATCCAGTTTCAAGAGCTCTCTTCTGTTCATTCTGGTTGCAGTAAAAACATGAAAATGTAAACCTCAGAGGTTCAAACACTTATACCAGAAAGAACAGACACACAAAAAAAGCCCCAAGCCAATCCTACCAGTATTATTACTCATATGGCTTCATAAAGCTCATACAGCACACTTGACCCTTCTGCAAGAATGAGGACCCAAACAGTGTTTCTGTATGTAACAGGTCCAACCAAACTATCTTCCTCCTGGCTGGGTGCAGTTGAACATCCCACATGCAGCAGATGAGGATGAGTATTTTTCAGGTTCACTCCCCCCTGGAGACACTTGGGAGTTGTGTTAACATGGAGCTAAAACTAAAGCTCGTACATTGCTTGTTGTGACCAGGTTGGATGGATGTGCTTGACTTAGGCACAAAACTTCAATTTATCTTCAGCGAGGCCTAAGTCAGTTTGCTTTTACCTGTTTTTGTTGCACTGTAAATGTTTTCAATGGGGAAGACAGTGCCCAATCCATAGAGAAGCACTTTAGCGAGAGCTGGTATAAGCTGAGTTGTGGTGACCAACACATTCACACAGTTAGGCCTAGAAAACAAAAGTTAGTAGAAGTCACAATCTGTGTTCCTCTCTTTTACTCTAGACTGAAAGACAGTAGGAAGCAAACGTTTCTCGCAACTGGAAGTTCCCAAGCCACTGGGAGATTATGTAACTAGAGGCAGATAATGTGAGTACTGGTAATGTCTTTTTATCAACTTAGTAGAATGAAAAAAATGTAAACCAAACTAGCAGCAGCTTTACTGCATGTGTGCCAGGATCTATTTTGTGGGAATTTAAACACCATGTAGTAATGTCCATGCTGGGTTCTTTGAGTGATCATGTTCAGGGATAGTAGAGCCCTTTTCTCCCTTTCCTACTCTTCTGTAATTCTATTCACATGGAAAGTGTGCCACAGATGAGGTAGCCAAGGAAAGGCAAGAAAAAGGACTGGTTTTCTTTTCCTTAGTTCATCAAATCAAGCTCACTCCAACCTGTGATAATACAAGTCTAGCAAACATGTGCAGACTGGCCTCCCACAGGTTTGGCCAGCCAAGTCCTAGAAATGTGTCTCAGTTTGTTTAGAGGGGGGAAAAAGGGGAAGCAAAGGAGATCCTGAATCAAGCCTGTAGGCAATTCTTTAAGCTGTTCTTACCGGGAATGTATCAAATTCAGCGCCTTCAGAGCGTGTGTGAGCCAGAGATCAGTCAGCGCTTCGAGTTCTGCTCTTAACTGCAGCCAGGTTTCCCTCTTAGGAGCTCCTATTAAACCTGCAAGCAGGGAAAGCATCTTTGCAGAAGCACGGAAAGGGAGTTGCATGGCTTCGTAGGGAGAATGCCAAAGGGCTCCTGTCTGTGTTCTGAACCCTCTCTCTCCTGCTGCCCTTCTCTCTGCCTTGCTGCAGCCTGCTTTCCTTTGTCCACTGCCGGGTCACTCCAAGGCTCTGCCTTGAGGTACGTGAATCCCAACTGCAGCACACTCCTACGCTACTGCCACTCAGCTTCCTTCCTCTCTGGCAGAATGGCATCAGTCACTCGCAGGCTGTGGGGCCACGTTAAAACACCTTTCTTGGACAAGAGAGCTGTGTGTAGCAGGTGGTGGCCTGAGCTGAGACACCTGAAGCCAGGATGGTTTTGTTTCTCCTGAGAAGCTATGCACCATTGCCACTACATGGAGAAAAACCTGTATTTAGTTTTGAACCATTTGCTTGCTTGCTTACTAAGCATTTTGGAAAATTGGAGAAAGTTGCTTTCCTGCCAAAGAAATTACAAAATCAAGTCCTACACTCAGACTTGAGTCCTTCTCCAACCACTAAACCACATTTTTTAGCATATCTATCTCCTGCAAATCCTGTACAGAACCTTATTTAAGGATGACTGCTGAAACACTTGCTCGGCTCAGCATGACGTATTCTTATCTCAACGCAATCCACACCTCCTCCGTAGCATGTCCCCAGCAGGGTCAGAAGTATTTGAGAAGATGAAAGGCACGCTTGTTGCCTGGCCACAGACACTTACCCCCTACATTGTTTTTGTAGGTGTTGTACATCTCTTTCACCCGACGGTAGCGGAATGCTAATTTCCTCATCCAGTCAACTCCCCCATGAACGCCCGAGCCCAGACACAGATTTGCACTGGCAGTTGAACTGTGAAAGCCATCTGCGGAGAAGTTATATGTGCTGGGAAAGGGAGGAGGGAAGGGGAGAGGTCAGTATAGTTACAGTCTATATAGTGCCAGCAAGGAGTGCACATGATTGAAATGTGGAGACAAGTGGCAGCAGAGACATACACAGGACATGCTGTACAGAGCTGGAGTTCATCTCTAGCACGGTTACTAGCACAGATTTAAAAAACTGTTCTTACTGTAAATACAATGCAGGTTACTTAGCACTCCCTAGCAGTTCTGAGGTTCTCTGGACTACAGAACATCTGACTGTCCTCAGATCACTGAAACTCCTCACCTGCCTCTCATCCAGGCTGCTAAGGTAACTGCAGAAATACTCAAATCCTAAAGGAGAAAATTCTGATGTTACCTTTCTGACTTCTTGGGCTACATTGATAAAAAGACTCTGAACACACATTAGATCAAGAGGAAAAAATTAAGAAGAAATTCACTAAAGGAGCCTTAACTGCCTGTAACATGTAAAGTTTTTGTTGTTGTGCTGTTTTTTTTTTTTAAACTGAGTTAGTATTTCAAAGCAATTCTAGAGTAATTACCACAATGAATTGGGTGCAAGTGACAGTTCCACAAACACCTTAAATAGGTAGTTTTGCTGAAGGAAGCAATCCAGCCTTCCACCAGGCATTTCTTCCTGTCTTCAGCCTTCCTTGATGTCCCTTTCTTTGTACCAGCACAAGCATTTCTTCAGCACTGAGGTGAATCAGATCAGGGAACTGTTCCAGTTAAAAGATAACACAGCTTTAAAAAAAAAAAAGAGGTTGCTTTTCAGCTGGATCAGCTCCCTGGTTTGGGGGAGGAGAGCATGGAAAGAGGCAGTACCAGCTCATGTTCTCTTAAAATGTTTGCCCGATGACAGCATCAGGATGGGTTTCATGGTCTGAGCAGATCTCAGACTGAGCTGCGATGGAAGATGGCAGCCACAGCTTGCGGGCCACAGTCGGCTGGATCAGGTCACAGACTTGGTGGATTTCGACAAACTCAGCTTGAACCAGGGCAAGGAAAGGGACAGGAAGGCTTGGTGACACAGACCTACCCTTCTCAACTGCAGCTTGAAGTTAGCTCAGCTTGTAGTGCTTCTGCCACCTGACTGAGGGAGCAGCTAGTGCTTGTACATTCACATCCTGATTTACTGCTCAGTAACTTCCCCTTCTAGAAAGCCCTGACGCCACTTCATTTCTGAATTAGAGCATCCAGATAGGAGCTTAACACGCTTAACATACTTCAGTCAGCTCAGCTTCATTTCCCACATAGACAAGCCATGAGCAGCTGAGAAGTATTTCTGAAACAACTGAAATCATTCAGGCAGGGGCTTTTCACAGGATTCAAGATATGCTGTTAGCATACGGATTTTTTTTGTTCAGTCAAAATAAGTGCACTGATTGTGATAAACCCCAAATTAATGTTTTATTCAATGCCTGAAAAGTATCCAGACTCACCTGCTTACAGGCCACTGGAGCCAGAGGACCTAAATACACATGTGCCATTTCAGTGCATTGGAAAGCACAAACCAGCATTTCAGTTACAGCAAAAAATCTTTCAAGTGTTCTCTGCAGAAGTCTCTTTTCCCTAAAACACTTCACTGTTCTCTGTGCTGTTTCTGCACCAATTTCTCATAACAACCAGCCATAAAAACACAAATTATGAAGCTCCACATGAGCTCTGCACATTTCATTCTTGTGCCAATTACCATGACTCTGCAGGCAACACTTTGGGAAAGGCAGATGTACAGAAGTAGTTTTTATGTACATGATGATCTAACTTACACAGATAATAACAATGTTTGGTGCTGGTTTGGTATAAGTTTCTACCAGTGGCATGGCTCTGGCACAGCAAGGTCCACAATCCTCACTACTAAGCCCATTCATCACAGATTGGGCAGTGGGAAACCTTTTAATCCAGTTTTGAAGTGTTGTGGCCACACCTGTGCCATCTGGCTGGCCAAATCATATTGGAAACTAGTGTGGTCTGACTGGAGTTCAATCTAATTTTAGGTACAATTCCCAGAGTGGTTCAAAGCTCAGTATAGTCAGGGCTTGACAGTAGGCACGAGCATATTAATGTGAAAAAGGGCACTCTTTGCTTCTGTGTGCTTAATAAATGCAGACAGCATGGAGCCAGGGAGGGGAGAGGGTGCATGGCTGAGAATGTTATTTTACATTGCTGACCAGCCCCCTGCTATTTGCAGTCAGCTGGAGACTACCTGACCTGCAGCTTCCAGCCTGGAGATCCCGTACCTTAGATCTTGACCATTATCATCTGACGATACATCATCTATGTGGATCTGATCACAGTCCTGAGAAACGTATGAAAAAAACCACAGCAGTAAGTAAATGCTTTGAAAAAAATTTTGAAATAATATAATGAACAATTACTTTAAAGGTAGTATTAAGGAGATAAAATCTTAGATATTGCTAGTATTGTCTGGCATAGTCAGTGAATTGTTAGGAACAAGTATCACATAGCACTTGCACAAAGTATGAATGGAAAGAGCGTGTGTGAGATCTGCTGTTATCTAAGGGTGCAACAGCTTTTGAATAATACAGTAAGTGAAACTCCTTCCTATGCAGACAGGAGGGGAGAGATGCTTGTATTTTAGCCAGGAAAACTGTGTTTTTTAAACTCTGTATGCGTGATAAGGCAGAGATCTGGCAGCCTCTCCCCCTGTGTGAATACTGCTTTGGAAAGGAGGTGTATGCCCACAAAATTACAAGGGGAGACGATCTGTCCCAAAGAGATTTCCAGAGATGCCTGTCCTGCTGGCGTTTTCCCAGTTTGCTCTAAGCGGGCTGAGCTTCCTTTGATGTGCAGGGAAGCTGGGTCAAGCACTGAAGTCAGCAGCCTTTCATAGCCCCAACCACAGACAGAGTTAAGGAATAATGTGTGTCAGTAATGAAGAAATCTATGGACAGGAAATTTAACCAGAATATATACTTGGAGCTCAGCCTGCATGAAATATGTACTCTAGATCTTATCTTTCAAAATTCTTCATTGTTTGAATGGGGGAAGGCTCTGCCTCAAAAATTTGAGAAATGTAATTTTTTTGGTTTCTTTCCTAGTCTTAGCATTAAGATCAGAAAGAGAAAAATCAGGAAGCTTCTCCCATCACCTTAAGTCTCCTTTCTCCATGACCCTTGCAGGGAGAACAAAACAGAAAGCCTTCAAGCTGATGAATATCTTTTGTTCTGGTTGATTTTTCAACAGAGGTAAAAGCACTTTGTACAACAGGACTCCGAAGTCAGAACAACTGCAGCTAACCAAGGTACAGCTACTCTTCACCACGTCAGTATTCTGTAAACCACAGAATTTGTCTTACCTTCCTTACACAATTATGAGCTTTATGAATTACTTTAAACTAGCCCCTTTCTAAAAGAGAAAAAATCCCCAAATAACAGAACTTTCTATCAGCAGCAAAATGTCACAGGTAGTTCTTGTCCAGCATCATGAGATTTTCTGCAGCAATTTAGATAATTCTCAAAAGACATATGATTTTATCTTGTTCTCATCTCATCAGTCCTCTTCCAACCTATTGCTGGGTGTATATCTCTCTACACGGCTGGAGCCAAGCAGCTGAATAGCAGATCTCTGCTGGCACCTCTCTCTCTCTCCTCCACCCTCATCATTTTTTCAGCCCCCCTCCCAATAGCTGTTGTGAGCCATGCTGGGATAATATTGATGCAGCCCACTCCACTTCAGTTGTATGATGCAGGGCATTAAGTCAGAGGAAAGGTATTTGTGGAGGGATCTGTTTTTCTCATTTGTGAATGAATTGTTCTGTACACTGAAGTGTGACAACAGTAGCTATCACATTTCTAACTTAATAAAATACCATGACACTCGGTGAGACGCTACCTCATAGTCCGCCGGCTGAGCCTATCGTGTTACTGGGTGAAACACAGGGAAGCTGGTTAATGCAAGAATGCGGACCATGTTTTACTACTTGGTTACAAGACTAATTTTTCATTCTTGCAGAACTTCCTTGAAAACTTAGTGAGCAGGGAATCAAGGCAGGATATCTGGGCTGGTGAAAAGAAGGTCCGGATCGTTTGAATGGAAGTCTGCAATGAGGATGTACCCAGTTTTCACATCTGCTGACTTTTTAAAATGATAGTCTGGGATCTCAGAGGTATATGATGTGTGGCACGTAGAGCCTGTAACTAAGTCAAACTTGTAAGACCTTAGTCAACCCTCACAACTCTGGGCACTGAACTGTTTTCCTGTTGTGATATCTCTAGGTCAGTCGGTGCTATATAACCTGACTGCAGGTGGGACCAGACCCTTGTACCCACATGTAAACCAGCCTGGGCTAAGGCAGCTTTGAGATGGTACTGCAGGCTTGGAGAAAGCCTCTGCTGCCTCCTTGTGAAATACAAGCTGTTCCTGAGGACGCATGATGACGCTCCTTCTGCTACCACTTACGCTCCCTCCGAATACTCTCAAGGTATATCTTGTGCACATATGAAAACAACTTACGAACGCACAGGTTGTCTATTTGTATTAAGGGATTTTTTTAAGCGTCGTGGATTCATTGATCAGTTAAGCTTGCATCCCTCATTAAGAGAGGGGCTAACAGTTCCCAGAACGCAAAACCTCCAGCGATGGCTCTGAAAGGCAGGCCTGCAGCACTAAGAGAGGATGGGTTGAAGCAAGTTATCTGAATGGATCTGCTGGTTTGCGTTTTCACACATCCAAGATTCGCATTCCTGAGCATATCCATCCAGACAATGCATTCAGGAAACAGTTGCCTGAATCCCTTCCAGGTAAACTCTGAAAATACATAAAGCCTTGGCTAACAACAGTCTCAAAATCATTTTTTGATAGAAAAAAGGGAGTATTCCAGTTCAGGCTCCTCACTCAGGCTTTGAAGTCAGTTTTTGGCTATGAGGTGAAGTCGCATCCTCACCAGACTAAGGTGAATGCTAGTGAAGAGCTCTACAAAGCTTGCTGTATCTAGGGACAAATGTTTCATCCTCATCAGGCACTTCCTAGGAACGCTTCAAAAGTGCTTTACACCCTGGCAGCACCTTCTGCTCTGCACAGCACTGCAAACTGCAGCCAGCAAAACAAACCATTCCCCTGTGCTAAACCAAGGTAATAACTGATTTCCTTGTCCAACCTGCCTCTCTGGTGAGGACGGGTGACGTTTCCTCCACCTCTCCCCTTGCCTTCACCTGTTAGGACCAAGGCCAGCCTTGCTCTGGTTGTTCAGACTGCTAGGTCCCCAAAATGCCTGAACTTGGCTACAGATTTGTGCCAGAGAAAAGTTTTGTTATATTTAGCATTACCTAGTGAGAGTACTCTTGCTTTGGTCTCGAATGGAGCAACTATCCTACTGCTTTCTCAGTTACAGCTTCTTTCATTCTGCCCCGACACAGAAGATGGTCAGAAATGGTTTCATCCCTGTGTGGTTTTAGCTTATTTTGTCTTGTACAGGCCAGTGTTACACCACATGATGGTGCTAATGTATATGGTAATGTCTGTTGGCCTAGAATTGAATCAGCTTCTGTGCTTGTTTTTTATCGATTTCTTTTTTTAAGAACATTATTCACTGCAATTTTAAGCCTAACACTCGGTGATATATGATCCTTAATTATCACCTTGTGAATACTCAAACCTAACTCTTATTTATCATCTTAAATGAAGGAGTAGGGTGATTAACTAACAGAGATGAATTGACTTTGTTGTTGCAAATTCTTCCAAAATGAAATTGCTTTTTTTTTGGAAAGTGAAACTTTGTAAAGAACATTAACTTCTCTTGAATTCCCCTTCATCTCTCATTTCTTTTCTTTGAAGAGCCTCAGCTAAAACCAAACCACCTTAGTTTGGTTTTGGTTTATGTCCTGATTTTGGCTGGAATAGAGTTCATTTTCTTCGTAGTACCTAGTGTAAGACTGTGTTTCGGATTTGTGCTGAAAACAGTGCTGATAATACAGGGACGTTTCAGTTATTGCTGAGCAGTGCTCACACAGAATCAAGGCCTCTTGGGAGGGGACACAGATGGGACAGGGGACCCCAACTGACCAAAGGGATATTCCACACCATATGACATCACGCTCAGCATATAAAGCAGAGGGAACAAGAAGGAAGGAGGGGATGTTCAGAGTGATGGCATTTTGTCTTCCCAAGTAACCGTTATGCGGGATGAAGCCCTGCTGACCATGGCTGAACACCCACCTGCTGATGGGAAGCAGTGAATGAATTCCTTGTTTTGCTTTGCTGTGTGCTTGGCTTTTCCTTTACCTATTAAACTGTCTTTATCTCAACCCATGAGTTTTCTCACTTTTACCCTTCCAATTCTCTTTCCCATCTCACTGGGGAGGAGTGAGCGTGTGGCTGTGTGGGGCTTAGTTGCCAGCTGGGGTTTGTTTTTTCAAACATGACAGTTTGAAAAAAACTTTGGTTTGTTTCACTTATCAAGCACATGTGAAAAGGGAAAACTTAAAATTTTCAGTAAAATAAACTCTTTTTCTTTCCAGCTGCCTGGGCCATGCATCATCACTTAGAACTTCTTCTAGTGTTTTTATCTTAGTGCTGGACCTGAGATAAATTGTCTCACAATGCTGCTGTCTCTTTGCTTTTTTCTGCTCTGACTAGCTGGAACACTACTTGTTTTTGAAAGTTTTTAATGTTTTTCACAGTTTTGAGCCATCCAGGTCCAGCAGCAAGTTGTTCTCACCTTTAGGTCTATGTCCCTTTACACCCTCTGGCAAGTCCATTAAGGCTGTATTGATTCACTCATTCAGCTGCCAACTTTGTGTTTCTCAATTTTTTAATAAAAGCAGGTACGCTGATAAGGTAACCTAGGAAATGCGCAAAAATTGTTTCTTGGTTGCTTTACAGCAACAAAACAGAACTAGTAACATAAATGTTTTTATTTATCATCATTGTAGCCCAAACTTCTTAGCAACAACGTCCCTTAGTAATTTGCTGAACAGATGTGTCCTGTAGCACCTGACTCGCTTCCTGTGTTGGAGCTAGAGCCCTAGTATTTTGCAGAAGTTTTGATTTCTATTTGGAGATGCAGTGCTAACCAACCTAAGGACTCTGCTTCTAGCAGCCAAAGCTGTTACTGACTGATAAATGTGAGGAATTTGACTGATGCCAGACAATTTGCTCCTGCATTTCATGTTTTAGAGTGGTAAGTGAAGCAAGAAGAAAACTTGTTTTAAATGATTCGCCAACTTATATTCTTGCAAAAGTCTAGATAGGCAGAGGGTTTCTGGAGGGTGTCCTTTGTGCAGGACATGGAGCTTTGTTGTATCACATGTTGAGATCTGATGGGTGGAACATGCTGGTTGTGTATTAAATATTACCACTACTTATATAGTGCTTTGGACTCCCAAACAGCAGCTGTCTTTTTCTTTTTCCCCCCTAAGAGAAAGATTTTTTTCACTTTGTGCTTTTCAAACCCTCATCACCAACTGCCTCTTTGAAAAAAACTGAAAGAGGAAAAATCTGTCAGTTCAAGTGCTACCCACTACTTGTCTTTGAAAGGAAATGAAAATTCTCAGCAAGTGAAACCTCAGATTGTAAGGAGACAGGTGGGAGGAAAAGATGTACCTCCTGTAATGTGGAAGACCACAATGCAGCTAAGCAGTGAAGGAACCAGAAGTTCTCGCAGAACTCATTGGGCACAGAAAAGTTCTCTCATTTCATGTGGCACAGAAACAAATTCTTCCTTTTTAAAGTGAAGAAAAACTCTGTCCAGGGATGCCAGATTTTTTTTCTCCAAACACCTCCAAGCAGTATTCTGACTCCAAGGTGCCCACAGCACAAAGCCCATCATATTCACTGTGTATGTGACTCATTCAGGCTACTTCTACTGATTGCAAATGCAAACAAATTTTCATCAGTGCTGTACAGCTGTTTCTCAGCTGGTGACAGAATTCTGCTAGCATTGCTTTGCTTGAATTTTACCGTACATTCAAAAGGATTTTCGTTTTGTATAAAGCATAGTCATATCTAACCATGCCACAAACAGGAAGGGTTCTTCCTCATAGTTTTTTATGTTGAAACTCCCATGGTTTCATCCTGCAGTGTGCCTGAGCTTGAGCAGACCTCCCGCTCTGTGTGTGCAAACAGAGACCATTTTGAAAACCTCTGCATTGGCTCTTAGTTAATTGCTACCTGTCCCATAGGATCTATGCTAATTTAGCTTAATAAAATTATTAAACAGCAAATTTCAGGAGAAGCAGCAGCAATGTCCTCATTATTAGATTTAGTAAACTGCCAAAAGCCATCATTGTTACTGTGTATTTACAAAAAAATTCCTTAACAGAATGAAGATGTCAAAGGGACACAGTAAAGTATGCTTCCAATAAGCCATCTAAGGCCTATATCTTTGGGGTCAAAAATGAAAGTTTCTTGGCCAGAAAAACAAGTTTGTAGCCCAGATGTAAATAATTATAGAGAGAGATGTTAAATAAAGTAAGCAGCTACATACCTCCAGGTCATTAAAGAACAGATGCGTATCTGCAAGGTTGAAGATCATTTCTTCCATCATAAGACCTATCCGCACAGACGTTGTAGTGTCCTGTTAGGGAAAAATCAGTGTTTTCCACTCACTTTTCCTTTTTTTTTTTTTCCGAGGGAGGGGTGGGAGATCTTAGAGGAAACACAGGATGCCTGTTTCTGAAGATATGTTCATTAAAGTAATTTTATTTCCCAAGTATATCTTAAGATGATTTTTCCCATCCTTTCTTTTGCACTCCTAAATAATCAAATTCTATTCTTTGAAGGATGTCTATGGCTCGCCTTTACCAATAATAGCCCACACACTTCAGATGATGTAACAGGAACCTTGAAACACCTGAGATTATCTAAGACCTGCTTCAGTAGGTTAGACCAAGAACTGATTTCCAATAGTGTAATTAGTGAATGGTTAGGGGATAGTTACAAGCAACGGAGCACACAGAGGGTGATCCTTTCCTGACTTAGTCCTTCAAACCAGCCACAGAAGGTCAGCACTATTTTCTTTTATTGTCAAACAGCAGCTTGGTGAGCAAAATCTGAAAACAGAACCCAGGAGCTCAAACACAAATTGAGTCTCTTTCTCTAAAGGGTGCGGTCCATGTGTCTCAGAACACTTGGCTTAGGCCTTTATTGCCACGCTAACTCAGGTGATGAGCACGGAACAGGACAGAAGGGCAGATGTGTTGTTCCCACATCAGAGCCCCGCGTGTGATACACCATCTAGTGTCCTTGGCAGCACATGTACACCTGGGCAGGAGATGCAAAAGCAGCCACACTACTGCTAAGCTCTGCCATCCCCACTGAGGCTGCCTACTTATTTAATAGCATCAGCCGAGTTAAAACAATCCCATCCTACCATGCAAACCCAATTACAGCACGATAAAATGCTTGTCCAAGTATGACTATTCCTGCTCAGGACAGAGTGTGCTCTGTAGCAGTATAAAGCATGCTTGCAGAAACAGAACTGTAGCTGTAACAGCAGTTACACCCAAAAAACTACTTTGATTTTTTTTTTTTTTTAAAAAAGACAAACCAAAACAAGACACGGCACATTAAAATGCTGGATGGGTTCACTTGTCAGTCTAGCCAGTGTTAGAAATGGTGACATGCACCTGATGCTCCTGTCTGCATGGGCTGGCTGACTGTGATGGTTTGCTCGTTCTGCCGTTTTCTTGCATCAGCAGCCCCCTGCCTGAACTGGGTGTGGGCCCAACTCGGCCTCTCCCCGAGGGTCCTAAACTGCACCCTAAAAGAGAAGGACATGATGCAGAAGCTCTAGCTGCCTGCAGCATTTTTAAAACACACTTTTTTAAGGATTAAGAGAATGTGAAAATGCACATGCCAGCAGCTCTAAAACAGCTTCTACACGTTCTTAAGCACATATGAACTTTCTCACCTCCAGATCATGCTTTTACCAACATCAGTGGCAAAACCTTAAGTAAATTCCCCTGGAGAAGGGCTACTCTACCTGCAGCTCTACTTTCATGAGTTTAGTTGATTTGTTTTAGAAAACTAGTGTTTTTCCCTGCCCCTTGCTACCAAGCTGAGATGCCACAACTGCCTGTGAGAGAGCTGTCGCTTCATCTTCTCGCGAAGTCAGCAGGCACAAGCTTAAATCAGCCCAAGCTGACGGGGCTGGCTCTGCTTGGCCAGAGAAGCCACTCAGACTGTGGCAGAAACAACTGATGCTTTTGGCTGGGCCATTTCCCTTTCCTTCTGGCTTCGAGGGCTACGTTAACAGCTGACTGCATGTGCACAGCAGATCTGCTTCTTCTCCAAGCTGTCTCTTGGATGGGATGGCAGCCACAGGGCTCCTACAGCTCTCAGTTTACTGTTTCAAAGCTGCCCAATAGTCACGGGATACAGCCTCTGCAGATCTGTTACTCTGAAACACCATCGAGTGACCTGCTGTACCCATCCTGATGCACTGCAATATTAAATGTTTCACTCACTTTTCTGTCTCTCATGCAGAAAGTCGACCACTCCTCCTGCCCCCAAACAACTGACCTTGTTCCTAAACCCACAGCAAAAGCACAGAAAGGCACTGATGCAAACAAGGTCGACAGGAGAACATTTTCTTATTCATTAAATACTTCAAAAACATAAGCAAAAACAATCTGTGGTTAATTTGATAAACACTCATAGCTCTAAAGCATTGTGCCTGTTCAAACTAAACAACAACAGACAACATGGAAAAAAAAAAAAGCATTCCCACAACAGGCTTTTATTTGTAATCCATCTTCATTAGGACAGGCATCTCTCATATTTATGTTTATGTGGGTGGTTTTCCTCCACTGAAGTTACAAGCCATGCTAAAGCAGGGCAGATTTATATGTAGTCTTTGCTCTAATTTTCTGCAGATTTCTGTGGAGTCATGTTATTCTATGACAGGACAGTAATGAATTAGTTGAGAAGCTCTAACAGGGAGTACTATGTTTGGAGGACGAGTACATTTCAATCAACCTTTGCAGCAGATGCTGTTGACATGGATGGTGTATTACACACTAACCTAATTATTACGCATTCTTGGTGTAGTTCTCTTTAATTAGAGCAGAATGGCTGTGGTTTCAGCCATGTGTGTGACTCACAAGCACTGTGCCCATCTAAAGAAAAGCTCTGTCACTCATGTTTAAACGTGCTTGCTGCTGTCCCAGAAAGAAGGGCACACTTTCTCCTCTGGGCAAAACGTAAACTTCAACAGACTTGCCTTAAACATGTCTCTAATTTTAAGCCCCAAACCTGCTCCCCTGACAAGGCACAAGGACACAGGTGTAATCAGGGCATCTGACTGTGGCCCCATGTGAACAGCACTGAGTCAGATTTTACTACCCAGGTGTAATTACACAGGGGAACTGTTTTGAAGAAAATATGTTGCTAGGAAGAAATTATTTTGTAAAATAGTTTTTAATGAAGCAATTTATTTTTATACATTTCAAGGATCATTAGCCTTTAAAACTCTTTCAGGAAATCTCATTGGTTGGTACCTGTCATTTATCCTCTAAGTTTTGTCTTTAGCTTTATTGGTATTAATCACTAATGGGGAGTAGGAAACATTTCCACTGTGTATGAAGTTACCTTCTCTTAAACTAAACAATATGGAAATTAAACTCTAGATGAAAGGAAAAAAAAAATCTTTCTCTTGAGACAGAGAATATGATGGAATGAAAATAAAACTGAAAAATGCACTTTACCACCCAGAGGGGAAGTCGTTTGGGGAAATGATTTGGCATTACTGCTTTCACAGTATGGACATTTCCTCTGTATCAAGGCATGCTTCCAAGTCTTAAAGAGGCTGATAAAGTTAAAAGGCAAATCAGCACTCCCAGTATGATATAGGTGTCTAGAGGCACTAGGCCAGTGTTCCAATGGCAGTTATTTATTTACATTACTGTAGCATCTAGAAGCACTAGTCCCAGACTTGAACCTCACTGTGCTAGGGGTTGTACCCACACAGAGGAAAGACACAACCACTACAGCTTTCCATTCAAGTATGAATAAACAGGAAAAACAGACTGACGGGAAAGCATCAAAATGAGATAGATATATCAATCCATGTGTTGGCGTTGTGCAAATTCTCTGTCCAGTGTGTAAATAAATTTCACAATTCTCTTTCAGATTATCTGGAGACGTTGATGGAGGGCTCTTCCCAGGCACAGATATCCTGTACCACTAAAGGATATCTCTATGCTGCAGGGGATGCCCTGGTGGGCTGCTAATGTTGACACCAGCCTAGTGTGAGTTTAGCAGAGCAACGTAAAGTTGCCCCACTCATACCAATGATCCCTGCTAATACGTCCTTCCATAGGAAGAGCGCACCCTGGAGCCCTGGGAATAAGCCTTCTGGATAACAGATATAGCCAATGTTTTCTGATGCACATGAAGCTCAAGGAAGAATGGACCACAGACAGCTTGAAACCAAATCTCCTCCAGGAACCACTTTTTACAGTGAAAACAGATTAATCAAAAAATCCAACCCTGAGCGCTTGTTTAGTAACCTTAGAAGAGCGAAGTTCTACCCTTCTGCTAATCTACCAGTCATGCTTTCACAAACAAGGACAATGAGGGGCAGGGATACAAAACAGGCAATAAACTCCTTTTGTAAATAAAACCTCCAGCACCACAGTGTATCCCTGTATGCCTCACCTCTGCCATGCACTGTTGTTGGAGCTTCCTTCAGGGTCATAATTAAACAGCTCCACAAATTACTTATAGTGCTAACCTCCGGTGCTCAGACATGACAGACCAGGCACTCCCGACCCTCCAACACACAGCTTTAACAGGCCTCTTCCCATCAGCTGGGGGAAAGAAGCACCAGGGGACCAGCGGCCATTCTGAAGTATTATTTCTCAAAGAGATTGATATTCTCCCCTCCTCAACACACCCTTCCCTCCCACTTTTAAAGACTAGGAGTAGTAGTTTCACAGCTGCCCATTTCTGCTTAGTGCACATCTTGAGCAAACTGAGAGGTAAAAAGTGTCTATTCCCTACTACTCTTTCATAAACAACAAAGGATCAAAACATACAAAGAGTAAGATAAGCCCTTTTTTAATATTTTGGATCAAAAATGTTTGCCCTAAAGAGCATCTTTGGCCATGTCTCTCTGATGTTTCTGTCACAGCTGTGATTTTCAGCTAAGGACTGATGGGCTATTGCCTACTGCTGACAACAGCCACACCTTGTGAGCAAGATAATTTCCACTCTAAGTGAGACACTGCCTACTCCCAGCTCCACATCTGCTTGTTTTGGGGTAATTTTGCTGCCTGTTCAGCAGATAGTCCTACTAGCAGAAAAAAAATGGGCAACAGAAGCCTGGGGAATGTGCTGCAGAGGAAGACAACTCAAATTGCTGCGTCCATTCACCAAGGGGATTGTTTTCTTCCATATCGCAATGGCGTGAGCTGACACATTTGCTCTGAATGCTGCTTGTATGTTGGCTAGTTGCAAGCACTGTTCCTAATCCTTGAACTGCTTCTGTACATTTGAAGTGAACTGCATTTTAGAATTACAGTTTGGGTTCAGTTATGTCCTCCAAGCTAGTAACGCCTTGCCTAAAATGAATTT